TTGACGCAAACATAGACTGGGAAAAGGGAGCCTCAGCTGAGGAATTGCTCCCATCAGATAGGCCTGTAGACATGTGTGTGGATCATTTTTCTGATTGATGAGGGCCTGTCCCACTGAAGACAATGCCACCCCAGGGCAGGTGGTCCTGGGTTGTATAAGAAAGGCAGATGAATCAATTCCTGGGAGCAAGTCAGTAAGCACCATTCCTCTGCAGCCTCTACTGTAGTTCCTGCTTCAGGGTTCCTGCCCTGGCTTCCCTAGATGGTAGACTGTAGCCTGTGAGCTAAATAAACTCCTTCCTCCCCAAAGTTGCTTTTGGCCAGTGTTTATCCCAACACCAGAAGGCAGACTTAGATGTGGAAATCTTTCTGATCTCAGGTAGCTTCTCACCATGAAGTGTTTGTCTTTGCATTCCTGTCATGTATTCTTTTTATCTGTCTCTTTTCCTCTCTTGGTATGTGCCAGCTGGCTGGGCCCAAGCTTCCAGTGAGGCAGTATTTACAGCTCACTTGGGTGGATGCTGTAGCTAGGGTAGCCCAAGGGCAGATGAAATAGCATCCAGAACGGGAATGCTGCACCTCTCTGCTCTGTCTTCTTTCAAATAAGAAAGAATTCTCTTTCTTCCCCCCTGTCAAATGACAAGAAGTATTGATTGATTTGGTACAGTATATAAAATATGCATATAATGGAATGGTATTTTGGGAACTATTAGCAGCATTGGCTTGCTGAGCCCCAAGATTTTACCCTCCTCCCTTTTCCTTTTCCTCCTTCCTAGTAGCAGCTTCTTAGCAAATTGCAAGCTCTGCTTCTGGCTTGCTGGGTAGCAGTGGCAGTGCAGGCTTTCTCTAGTTTCCAAGGGAGACGAGTGCTGAGACTGCAGTGCTTCCCAGAAGCCACTACCTTTCTTGCTGTTCATCTCCATGCATGTTTTGACCTTCATTCTGCTATGCAGACCTGCACAAGGAGGTAACAGTCTGTTTTCTTGGTGTTCTCTGTGTCAGTGGGGGGGGGGGGGGACGGGGAAAGCCTGGTGGTATGGGTAAAGGCATATGGACACAGCTGAGTATAAATACTAAAATTAGAAAAAAAATCACTCTGAGGTACTCTGATCTGTGAACATCTTTCTGTTTGCTGTACCCACGAATACCCTGAAGGTGGGAGTCCTGGTACTAGCTCGTAAAACTGAAAATTATCACTTATAAAAGCATAAGGTTATAGTAATATTGCCAATGGGAAGCACAGAAGAAAAATGAGAACTTGGAGAAAAAAATGTAATCAATTGCGCTTAAACACTCTATCTTTATGAATTCTGTTAGGTGTGTGTTATGCACATTTAAGGAGAGGGCTGAGAATATGCCTTATTAGTATAAGCTCAGGACTCCAGAGCTGTGCTTCTGAGTGTCATAGTCAGTGCTCCTGTGTGATTATTTAAGTCTAATGACAAAGTTCAGAGTGATGTCCTCTCTCGCACTAGCTACGTTTAAAATAGTACTGGCTTCTGTATTAGACTGGATATTGAACATTTCCATTGCTATACAAAGTTCCATTGAAGGAACTAAAGAAAGAGACCCATGGAATATGGGAAACTTTGTACGCTCAACATCTGAATCACGAGTTCTGAATCTGTGATAACTTTCTCTTGCCTTTCCTTAGCTAACAGCGCATAATCACCAGTTTCTCAGCACTTACGTTTTATTGAAGTAAACCAGTGATGTTTTAAGGTGTATATTTAAAGAGGATGTATAAAATATTTGCAGATTCTATATGATTTTATATAAGAGGCTTGAGCACTCATGGCTTTGGGCATGGGAAGGGGTGCTGGAACCAATCCCCCTGGAATATTTAGAGATGACTGTATTTGGCCAGACCAATGAGTAGACTTTTAGCAAGAAGAACTTTTGTCCACAATCAGCATAAATATGGATTCACTATGGTTACAGATGACTGAAGTCTTTACCTACATCTTTATTTTGTGACTGAAAATACTAAGGTCCTAAGAGGTTGAAGAAGAACCCAGCAGTCTTTTTTACTCTTGTTCTACAGTGTTGACCTCCCATTCCGTCCTGCATCAGGTAACAGCTGACTGCAGAGCCAATTGCATCCTCCAAAGGAGAATCTAATCCCTCATATAATTTCATTTTTATGGTTTGTTCACAGCAGTCTTATAACATATTGAGGGCAACTTCTGTAAATGTAAGAGCCAGACTGTTCAGTATGGCAAACTTTAGGGAGATGTAGGATGCGAAGAAGGGCAGGGCGAGACCCCTCCATCTACTCACTCCTGCTGCTCAAAGAATTGGAGGAAGACATTCTTGCTCCATTAATCTCTGTAGCTGGAATGTCATCATGCTTTGGGAAAGAACTAATGTTTTCACTGTTGAATGAAGTAAGGTGCGGGAGAGCATCGTGATAATGTCTCTTGGTGATGACCTTGTGATCTTGACTATTTTAGTTACCGTCTCTGCCCAGAGTCTTAGAACTAGATCAAATTTTGAAGTCCTTTAGGCCTTGATCTGCTAAAAGTAGCTACTAAGATGAGCAGTGGTGGTGCACACCTTTAATCCCAGCACTCAGGAGGCAGAGGCGGGCGGATCTCTGAATTCAAGGACACTTAGTCTACAGCATGAGTTCTAGGACAGCCAAGGCTACACAGAGAGACCCTGTCTCAAAAAATAAAAGGAAAAAAGTGAAAAAGAAAATAAATGCTATAGAAAGTAGGCTTTATTATAAGGATTTTATGAAAAATTGTCTGCTACCAAATTCAAAAAGAGAGAGAATTCCCTGAAAAGCAGAATATTTGTTTTAAAAACAAAATATATAAATAAGTCTAACTATTACAGAATTTGAATATTTTATTTAAAAGTTTACTCCAAAGAACACTAGCTCAGGTAACTTTTATTGGTGAACTTTTTAAATTATGTAACTGAAATCATATATATTACCATTATAGAAAATAGGTCAGGAGAGAATACTTCCAACACACATACCCTTAACTCACAAAGTTGGCCACTATACCTCGAGAAGAGAAAAATCAAAAGTCACATTCCTTTTATGACTGTGAGTATAGAAATCTTGGGGTGTGTGTGTGTGTGTGTGTGTGTGTGTGTGTGTGTGTGTGTGTTTGAGACAGGGTTTCTCTACCAGTCCAGGCTGACCTGGAACTTGCTCTGTAGACCAGACTGGCCTTGAACTCACAGAGATCTGCCTGCCTCTCAAGTGCTGGGATTAAAGGCGTGTGTCACCACTACCCAGCTGAGTAAATAGTAGTAATACATTTTAAAGTATTACTTAAATAGTAGTAATACATTTCAGGACTGGGGAGTGGCTGAGCTGGTAAAATGTTTGCCATGTCAGCGGAAGGTCTTGGTTTTGGATCACCAGTACAAAAACTGAGTATAACAGCATGACAGTAGTCTAGCCCTGGGGAGGTAGAGATGGATAGCTCCCCGGAGTTGGCCAGCCACCTAGTCTAGCTGAACCTGTGAGCGTCAGTGCAGAACCTTGTCTCCGGCAAAGTAAAGTGGAGGGTAATAAAGAAAGCCACTTGTCACTGGCTTCCGGCTTTCACACCCACCTGGAAGTGCATACATGTCTGCACATTTATATCTTGAGCAGAATGTGTGGCTCGGTGACAGAGCACTTGACTAGCATGTGTGCACAGGCACAAAAGCAAAAGTAAAATATAAGCACAAAACCTGGGTCCTTTTGTTTGAAACTTCAAGAGTTTTAAATAAAAATCAATGTGATTTTGCTATCCAAGCATGAGAGCCTGAGTTAAGATCCCCAGCACTCACATAAAAAGCTGTATTGGCACACAACTGTAATCTCATCACTGTGGATACAGGGAAAGGAGGTTTGCCAGATATTATTGGTCAGCCAATCTAGCCAAACCAGAGAGCCCCAATTTCAGTCAGACTTTATCTCAAAAGATAATACAGATTAGCTAAGGAGATACCTCAGTGAGTAAAAGTGTTTACTACACAAGTGTGAGTATCTGTGCTTCTCAAACCTCCAGAACCCACATAAAAAGCCAGATATGTAGTAGCTCATCTGTAATCCAGGTGGTTCTGTGGGGACATATGAGGTGGAGACAGGAGAAGCTTCTGGACCAATAGCCTGTCGTATGCAGTGGTAAGGCAGGCCTGTCTCAGATAAGGTAAAGGTAAGGAATGATGTTCAAAGTTGTCCTCTAACCTCTATACATATGCTGTGGTGTGTGTGTACAATGAGATGTGCACTCCTGCACACACACACACACACACACACACACACACACACACACACACGCACAGAATGATGAAGACACTTGACATCAACCTTTAATCTCCATGTGAACATGTGGGGTGCATGCAAAACCTTAACCTGATTTCTATAAGAATAGAAAGCTTTTTTAAGGCTATTCTTCAATTATTTATTTAAAGATTTATATTTTTTTATGTATACAGTGTTCTGCATGCCTGTATGCCTGTATGCCAGAAGAGGATACCAGATCTCATTATAGGTACCTGGGAGGCACCATGTCATTGCTGGGAATTGAACTCATGACCTCTGAAAGAATAGCTAGTGCTCTTAACCTCTGAGCCATCTCTCCAGCCCCCAAGAATAAAAAACTTTACTTTAATTTGATGAGTGGTGTCTAAAGAAATTTTACAATCAACATTCCTTTTAGCGGTAAAGTACTGAGAGCAGAAACTTTCTGTCACCCCCTCTCTTTAGCATGGCCTACAGTTCCTTGTCAGAACAGTAAGGTAAGAAAAGAAAACAAAAATTTTAAAGACAAGAAAAGAAGAAATAAAATTCGGTTCTCTCTTTACAGATGGCATACTTCTGTATGAGTGGTGATACATTACACATACTTTGAATGCTGTAAGAGCATTTACTGATGGCGGACAGCATTCTTGCCCTTTTGACCTTTAACCACATTTTTTTCAGCACGTGGAGTGTCTTCATTCCTGCGGTGCATGTAGCAAAGGTGTTACCTGCTGTTTCCTCCTCCCCAGGTCTTATCTGACTCCTGTCCGGGATGAAGAAGCAGAGTCTTTACGGAAAGCACGCTCCAGACAAGCTCGGCAGACACGCAGGTCTACTCAAGTAAGCGTGACTTCCCCACACTCCAGTGTTCTTTTGTCTTTCTGCCTTTCCAGTGGAAGTCTGTGTTGAAAATGAATGCTTTTGTTCCAGCCACTTCATTGTAACTGTCAGATGTCTAAGGCTGTACTGTATAGAAGCAGATTTATAACACTCTCTACCCACTCTCACCTCCATTCCCCCCAGCTTTGCTTAGGAACATTAAGAAGCCTTCTGGTCCTCTACATATGGAGAATCTCTAAGGAAATTGATAGCAGTTTGAAAAATGTTAAACATGGAGTTTCCATTTGACTCTGTACACACAGTCTATACTCTTAGATAAGTACATAAAAACATATTCTCACATAAAAACTTTTATAGAGAATTATATAACAGAATTATTCAAACTAGCTAAAAAATAGAACTAAGCCAGTAATGTACTCCACCATAAGCAGGACTATACTGTTGTAAGTATATGTTCATTAACCAATGAATGAACAAAATATACCATGTCCATACAGTGAAGTATTATTTGGAATTAAAAAATGAGGTCCATGGGCTGGAAAGATGCTTCAGCAGTTAGCACTTGTGACTCTTGCAAAGGATCAGAGTTTAGTCCACATCACTTCCACCAGGTGGCTCACAGCTGCCTGTACCCCCAGCTCCAGGTGATCTAGCAGCCTTGTCTGACCTTCCTTGCGCACCTACATACACATACACAAACCCACAGACAGACATACTCACAAACAAAAAAAATTAGTTACAATTACAACATGCGTGAACTTGGAGAAAGCATCAAAGTGAAACAGTCCAGGCACAAAGAGCCCATTTGTTATATGAGTTCCTTGTGTAGTGTATCCAAAATGGCTCAGCCAGAGAGGTGTGGGGTAGGATTAATTAATGCTTGGGCAGCAGGGAAAAAAACTGGGAAGAGCCTTGTTAGTGGGCATGGTTTCTTTGGGCAGTGATGAAAATGTCCTGAAAACAGGTAACAGTAATAGTTGACAAAATCAGCATATTCTAGAAATCATACGCTCGCATACATTAAAAAGAAGAATTCTATGATATATGAGTTATATTTCAGTTACCAAAAAAAGGTCTTTTATGGGAGCTGTGTAAGCAATTTAAAGAAGAATTTGATGTATCTCACACTTTCTTGCGGAGACAGAAGTGGTAGGTAGAGTATGTTTGCCAAGCCAGGAAACCAGAAGATTAGTCTGGAAGCTGTTCATAGTAGTCCCACCTGAAAACATCAGGCCTCAGGTTGTAATGGTCATGAGAGGAGGAAAGGAACTTGCAAAGTAATGCGATGAGGACCAGAAAACCGCAGTGGCATTCAAAGTGACAAGAAATAAGCACGTAGCAGAAAGCAGACTCTCAACAGTTTTAATTAGATGGTACAGAAGTCAAAGGAAAGCTGATGACTGGGAACACTGTACACAGCAGCACAAAGATTGCTTCTGTCTTTCCCGGCTCTCAAGAATGGTTCAGGAATTCTGCTTTCACTTTTGCTTGATGAGTGTGTGCCTGTTCTTCCCATAGAATCCATTTTCCATGAAGCCCATGACTATTTTTATTCTCATTAATATGCATTAGAAAACTTACCCATTTCTCCATTTTTAAGTTTATAGTTCAGTATTATTAATTCCTGTCACTACTGTACAGCTCCAAAACATTCTTCATTTTCCCAAACTGAAACTCTGTATTCATTAAGCAATCACCCTGTGCAAGCAAGTAGTATTCTGTTTTCTATCTCTATGACTTTTGTGAATCTCACATAAATGAAATCATATACAATGTATCTCACCTGTTTGGCTTTCTTGTAACATAATGCTAGGCTTCATTCATGTTGTCCATATAGCATCATTTTATTTTTAAAAGGCTGTATTAGATGCCACAATTTGTTTAACATCCACCTTTTAGAAGACATCTGACTACCGTAATAATACCACAGTGCAAATGGCTGTCCACACGTCTCCAGACCCTGCTTTCAGTCCTTTGAGGTATATGCATAGAAATATGTGCTGGCTTGTATGATAATCCTATTTTTATTTTTTTAATATTTATTTATTTTTATTGTGTATACAATATTCTGTCTGTGTGTATGTCTGCAGGCCAGAAGAGGGCACCAGACCTCATTACAGATGGTTGTGAGCCACCATGTGGTTGCTGGGAATTGAACTCAGGATCTTTGGAAGAGCAGACAATGCTCTTAACCGCTGAGCCATCTCTCCAGCCCTGATAATCCTATTTTTAATATGGAGGAATAGCTTACTGTTCTCATAAATAGCTGCCCTGATTTCCACTCCTGTCAGCATCCACAAGCATCCTCATTTCTCCAGCTTTCTCCCAATATTTGTTTTATAATTTGGGAATTTTTAATGTAGTAACCACTCTAGCAAATGTGAAGCAGATGAATGACAATAATTTCTTTTTACATCTTATTTTGTTGTTGTCATTGTTTGTTTGTTTGTTTGAGGCAGGGTTTCTCTGTAGTTTTGGGGCCTGTCCTGAAACTAGCTCTTGTAGAACAGACTGGCCTTGAACTTAGAGAGATTCGCCTGCCTCTGCCTCCTGAGTGCTGGGATTAAAGTCATGAGCCACCACTGCCTGGATACATTCTAATTTTTTTTATGTGGAATGATACACATTTGGAGGTCAGAGAATAACTTGTAAGAGTCAGTTATCTCTTTCTACTGTGTGGGTCCCACATCCTCTCATGTTTTCAGGCTTGGTGGCATGTACCTTTACTAACTGGACCATTTCAGTAACCCACTGGTTACATTTCTACTGTCATTTTTTCCTCAGTGTATGGTGGATAAATAATCAGAATATGCATTCATATTAATATATAATTGAATATATCAGTGAGGGAGAAATAATGATGGGGAATATAGACTACTCTTAAATGGTTTTAAATTTATTTATGAAGAGACAGAAAAAGGTAGCTGGAAAAAAAACACATAATTAAAAGAGGAAGAGCCAAAGACATATAAGTATTTTATAATGAATCATACTTGTAATCCTAGCTTCACTTGGAAGGTAGAGGTAGTAGAAGCAGGAATTCAAAGCTAGCCTTAGCTACATAGTGATTTAGAGGTCAGCCTGTGCTACATACATAAAGACCCTGTTTTTTAAAAAAGAAATCTTGTAGGAAAAGACTCAGTAGAGAGAGCCAAGGTCCACATCAGAACTAGTAAGGATCTTCAGCCTCCTCAAAATGAGTACATGACTTTTGAAAATATTTTGTTAGATTACCAAAGGAACCTTGGGTCGCCCAAAGAAAAAATATTCATCAAGTAATCATTCAGCTCCTTAATGTTACAGATGATCCAGCCTCTCACTGCTTCCCTCTTTTTCACTGACCTTGTTCTGCTCCCACTCCCTTCACCTTTGCTACACTGCTGAGAGCCTCTGCATCATCCCCAGCCCCTCCTATCTCTGAGTCTGTGGACAGGCTCCTGCTAGCTATGCCCTTTACCACTCACTGCCTTCCAGAGCAGCACTTATTGAGGTCAGGGGACAACTTCATATGTTAGTCATTGCCTTCTTGTTTGAGGCAGGGTCTCTGTTCACCACTGAGCATACCAGGCAAACTGGCCTAACAAACTTCTGGGGGCTCTCCAGGCTCTCCTTTCCTCTCAGTCATTTATCCACTGTGCTATCTTCACATGTTTCAACATTTCTGTCTTAACATGTATATAAGATCATGTGATGATCATTTATTTTTATGTAATTTCTGCTAGATTAAAAGTTTCTTGAAATCGTGCTGGTTTGCTAGTTCAGCAATTAAGAGCACTTCCTGCTCTTGCAGAGGACCTAGGGTCAGTTCCTAGTGTTTATATAGTGGCTTCCAACTACCTGTAACCCAGTTCCAGGGGATTCAGTGCCCTATTCTGGCCTCTGCAGCCTTTTGTATTGCACATGGTGCACATCAACTCAGGCAGGCTCACACGCATACCTATAACAAATAAATCTTCGAAGAAAGCTTCTTGAAAGGAATCACTTGACTTGCCTCTGTAGTTTAATTTCTTGAAGACATCAGTAATTTAAAAGAATGAATAAAACTATGAATAGTTAAAAATTTTTTGAAACTGGAGAGACAGTCGTGCAGTTGAGAGAGAGAGCAGTGAAGGGTGCTTTCTGACCCCATGTTGTCAGGTGACTCACAACCATCTATAACTCCGGCCTCAGGGGATCTGACATCATCTTCTGGCCTCCACAAAAAGTATGCTTGTCTACATATGCAAGAGCATGTGTGTACACATAATTTTATAAAATGAAAAGAATGCTATGGATTTAGTACTCAGTGGCTGCCTCTTCTGAGGCTCTGAGAATGTCACCGCTCAATTGGGATAATCTCAGTCTCTCCTCAGTGCCGTCCTACTCCACGTCTCTATCATTTATTTGCTTTGCTTTTGTCCTGCTGCTCCAGTGATCTCGGCGGGGGGACATTAATTGTTAGCACATCTCTGTGCGATTCCTAAAGATACTCAGGAAATGATGTTAGAGTGTTTCAGGAAGTTTTGTTGTTTTAGCCTAACTTTGAATTTTTATGTTTTTGAACCAGGTTTTACAATTTTGATTCTTCCAGTATTTACTGTTCAGGGAATTAGAAGGTAACCATTTGATCTTAGGAGAGGCTAAAGTGTACACAAATAATTGAGCACAATTTGCTATAGATCAAATATATCTATAACAGCAGATATCACCATTGGCCTATTTTTTTGGAAGACTAAGTTGGGAAAGCTAAAGTATTAGTTCCAAGTATTCATAGATTTAAGTCTGAGTTCTCTGCACAGCATGGTGCTTATTTTAAACATGTGTTGCTAGAAATGGCCTTCTGCATCTTGGGAGCTTCATTTGGTTGTTTTGGGGGCAGTTTCTCTGCTCAAGAATACTGTATTAGTGTGAAACTGTCTTCACCGTTTGATATTTTCCCAGGGTGTTACCCTAACAGACCTTCAGGAAGCAGAGAAGACTTTCAGCAGGTCAAGGGCAGAGAGGCAAGCTCAGGAACAGCCCGGTGAAAAGCTTGCAGACCCTGGTGGACTTGAAGGGAACACCAAGAAGCAGGAACCATCAGCTGCCCCAACAAAGGAAGCTGAGGAAGGCCAGCAGTCTGAGGGCAGGAGTCTGGAGGAAGAGGTGAGCTCCTCTTGCTGGCATGCTATGCACCACAAGCAGGATAATTTAGTGTACTTCCTTAGTGGTAATTTAAATACTGGTCTTCCTTGCTTTAGTAAACCATTCCTAAAAGACACTGTGTGTCTATAGCTGTCTTCGTGTAGACCTATGTGGCTGACAAGATCTGAAGGATTTCTGTTCTTTGAGTGATTTTTTTTTCTCCTCTGAGTGTTAACTAATGCTTTTGAGTAAATGTCTTACTATTCTATAAGAGTGCATATAGTATAATAAGATGCAAATAAGAACTGTTTTTATGGAAGACACTGTTATAAGAATTTCAAATATATTAATTGATTTAATTCTCAGGATACCCTTCTGAGATCAATATTGTTATTTCTATTTTATAGATGAGGAAGTTAAGTCTCAAAGGCTGAGTAATTTACCTTATACTCTACACATAGAGGGATAGGCCAGTGAGAATTTGAAGATAGACAGTCTGACCTTCCAGCTTGTTTAACGCAGATATGTTGTTTCCAAAGTCCTGCAAAGCACTCCTAGGTGTCACTGTCTGTGTGGACATGTGTCTGTAGTGGAAGTGGTATTCACAGAGAGAATCAAGGATACACTAAGGGCAAGCATACTTCTGATTTCAGTTGTAACTGTTGTCTCTATAATCACCATAACCACTTCTTCTCTCTCAAAAATGTCCCAATGTGAACTTATAAATATGGATACTGTAGCTATGAGAGAAAGGAATCTCTCACTTGTTGGCAATCTTGAGTGCTGAGTTCTGTAAACTGATATTATTGTGTGTCTTGTTTGTTTAGTTAAGTTATTATTTACTAGCTGGACAGTGGTGATGCACACCTTTAGTCTCGGCACTTGGGAGGCAGAGGCAGGTGGATCTCTGTGAATTCGAGCTCAGCCTGGTATATAGAGTGAGTTCCAGGACAGCTAAGACTACACAGAGAAACCCTATCTCCAAAAACAAAAACAAAAAGTTATTGCTGAGTACTGGTTTCTAGATAGTGTTCACGTCCCTAACACATTATCTAAACCCTCGGCATCCTGTCGAAGATAGTTTATCCCTGTTTTATTTACAAGGGTGCTGAGGCTCAGAGAGGTTAACTTATTTAAGATCACACAGCTACTACCTGCAGAAGTAGACTTTAAGCCAACTTCTGTCTGAGCCCAAAACTTGCTTACTTCATTGTTTCTGTCTTTATGGCTCATAAATTAAAAGTATGCAACCTCTACATTGTGAACTTAATTTATAGATTCAACTTAATTTAAGATACAAATTCTAGTTTGTCTCTTGAAGAATCTTCAGTTAATTAAGCTAAGGCTAATTTTTCTGTTTTAACTCTCAGAAAGAAAAATTCGAAGGGGAAATAGAAATTTAAAAAAGTTCTAGGAAAGCAGTAAAGTCACTTGTGGTATAGCCTTGCCTAGTGTGTGCCTGGCCTGGCTGTGCTGCCCAGAACATGAAATGAGCTCTTCAGTGAGTCACGTACCATATTGATGGAGTGCCCAGACAGTGCAGGAATTGTCACATTTGCTCTCTGTCCGCAGGTCATTGCCACTCTTGTTTCTTCACACGCCTAGCTTCTTATTTCCCATGTACTCTGTCGTTGAGCACCCCATCTTAAAAACAGCAATGCTTTCCCCATTTTCAAGGTTAAAAGAATTTTTATTAACAATGAGCTATTTAGTGCCCTTTGTCACTTTAGGAACAGTTTGTCTCAACTGCTGTGATCATAATGGTTTCCTCAGACTAGGACTCCAGAAGCTGCTGGTTCCTGATCACTTACTAACTCTAATTCATCTGATAGATGCTGATTGAACATCAGTTGTAACTAAGTTCCCTTCATATTGAAAGGCCCATTCTGAAGAAGCCTACTGTCTTTATCTTTTGATGAACGTGACCACTAAAATCTCATCCTGTGGATTATTTCTAGCCTATCTATCATCGCCTAAGGTGTTCAACTCAACCTGACAAACCCACAACACCCGTGTCTCCTTCTGCATCAAGAACCTTACTCTACACTGGTTCTCATCTACTACGGCCAGGTAGAACTTCAGACCCTGATTCTGAGAATTCAGAAACCACCACAAACCCCACAGCCGCAAAGGAAATGGACAACAATGGTATGTATAGCTTCAGAAGCCACTGTCCAGTGTGCATGGCCTGGGTTCTTAAGGTCCACATTCTCTGTTATCTTTGGGCAGAGAAAGAAGGAGCTGATTTGGATGATCAGTCCTCTAACAGGCTGTCTGTCCGAGAGAGGAGGCGACCTAAGGACCGGCGAAGAGGCACAGGCATTAACTTCTGGACAAAGGACGTAAGTACATTGGTCTGAACTGGGCATGCCATACCACCTGTGGCTGCCAGCCTCCTTGTTGAGGTCAAAAGAAAGAGCCCCATGAAGTGCCATGATTTTCATAGATATGACAAAGAACTTTTACTAAGAAAAAGTGAAGATTCCACGAGTATGGGACTCATTTAGTATGTTTCTGCTAAGTGCCTAGAGCAGTACTGAGTACAAAGATACTCTGTAACTGATAAAGAATTTTGAAAGCTGGAGATTTTTAGCTACCATGTAAGCAAGTGGATAAATCTGGCAAATTTTAGCAGTTGTTTCTAGGAGTCCCTGAAAGTTACATAGTTGGCAGTATCTTAGTACTACCTATAAACCAAGGTTTAACTATTGTAGGGTGATAAGAATTTTGAAGGAAGAGGCTGGAGAGATTGCTCATGATTAATACCACTCATTTTTTCAGAAGAACCAGGTCCGGTTCTCAGTACCCACATGGTGGCTCACAGCCATCCATAACCCCAGTTCCAGGGACCCAACAGGCACACACAGTGCACATACTTGCATTTAGGCAAAACACTCGTACATGTAAAGTGAATAAATATTTTCTTTTTCTTTTTTTTAAAAAAGTGCTTTAAAAAGAATTTCAAATGGCTTAAAATCTGTAAATTGACACAGGTTTAAAATGAGTCAGTTTTACCTTTCTACAGGGTACAGGATCAAATAGAGAACAGGTCCCCAAGTGCTTACTAAACGCCAGCACACAGTACTTCAATGCATTCCCTTTAGAACTGTTTCTAACCTTCCCATTCAAGCCTGTTACTGGCATTTGTTAAACCAAGTGACCAATACCGTAAACTGGAGGCCCCTGGTTCCTAATGACCCACATGAAAACTAGATAAAACTATGCAGCAAGACAAAAAAATTTAGCAGTAGTCATCCCTCGTTTCAAACCGACTTTTAGCAAAGATGCATTGCCCTGTTTTAGGACTAAATCAATAGTGTTTTGTTTTTACCGGTGCTGGGGATTGAACTTGAGGCCTTGGAGATACTAGACAAACAAAGTCTTTACCAATAAGCTTCATCCCTAGACCACAGGCTGACAGTGTTTGACAGAGTGAAATGAAGTCTTGCTTTTTGAAAAAATACCTTTTAACCAACTGTGACAGCTGTTGAAAGTGGCAATCGTGGCATCACTTTCAGTTTTCATTGCCCATGTTTGAAATGCCAAGAGGTGTGATTGGTAGGAACTGACCTTGTTTTCAGAGAGATCTGTAGCTATGATCCTTTTGTTTTTCCTCCCCTTTCCATTTCAGGAGGATGAAACAGATGTCTCTGAAGAGGTCAAAGAAACATGGGTAAGTGACAGACTGGTGACACAGTCCCTTTGGGGTTCAGCCTTGCTCCTTGGCATAGGAGATGAGCAGATCTATGTAAATGTGGGCAGAGAGTGAAGACGAGCATTGCTCTGAGCAGTGTGACGGGGGCTTGTTGGGGCCTCTTTTTCCTGTGCCTACTGTGCTGGTTGCCAGTCATCGACACTGACGCAGGCGCCACGTTTGTCCCTTGACTATTACTGGATTGGATAAAGTACTTGGAAATCTTTGGAAGAAAAGTAAAAAGTGATAACAGTTCCTAATGATTCTCTTCTAACAGAGAACATAAACCTCGAGGCCATTTAAAAGTTATTTATATTTGTCTTTGAAGTGAGGGTAAGCGCCTCACCTCTTTTGTAACTTGACATTTTGAAGCCTGGCATCCAACTCCTCTTTGCACTGGAAGGCCTACACCCACCCATCCCTTCTCTGAGCTACTTTTAAACCTCTAAACACTGGGGTATTATTTGCAGGAAAGAGGGAATTTGGTTTTTACCAAATTAATACAAATCTTTGTGCTTTACTTTTCAAAGCATATAAAATGATAGCCTTTTAGTTTATTGTTGTACATTTATTCTCAGAATATGTTTAATGATCTTTAGAGAAAATCAACAACTAGTTCATATTTATCAGTAGAAACATAAGTAACAAATTTTCATTGTTCTATCTAAATAGTTAAGATCCCAAGTAGTAACTGTGTGGTGGTATATGTTTGCAACCCCTTATGAGTCCATGGCAGGAGCATGACTAGTTTTTTGGTTTTGAGGTTGTGTGTGTGTGTGTGTATGTGTGTGTGTGTGTTTCCTGTTCATGTGTTGAGAGAGAAATATGGATGCACTTGCATATGTATGCACATGTTGTATGGAGACCAGGTCAACATCAGGTGATTTCTTAAACTAGTCCCACCTTAATATTTGAAAAAGGACCTCTCACTGAACCTGGAGCTCATTAATTGGGCTAGACGGGTTGGTTAGCAAATTCTATGGCTCCTCCTGTCTTCCACCTCCCAAGTGCATAGGTTACAGGCATGCAGTACTGTCTGGCCTTTTTATATAGGTGCTAAGAATCTGACTTCTGGTCCACTTTACTATCTAAGATATCTCCAGCTACTGTATGATAAATTTAAGGCCAGACTGAGCTATGTAGTGAGACCTTGTCTTAAATGTGGGGTGGTAATTAATGATAACATGGGTAAGAATTGTCTACCTTGATTAATGTTGAGGCTTTATGTAATAAAGATAAATTGGATTGTTTAGAAATAAAACATAAAATCCCTTAAAATCCGAGCAATGGTGGTGCATGCCTTTAATCTCGGTATTTGGGGGGCAAAGGCAGGTGGATCGGTGGATCTCTGTAAGTTTGAGACCAGCTCGAAAAACTAAACAAAACAAAACAAAAAAATCCCCTAAAGCAGAAGTGAGTGTGTGTGGTTGTGTGTATGTGTGTGTGTGTGTGTGTGAGAGAGAGAGAGAGAGAGAGAGAGAGAGAGAGAGAGAGAGACAGAGACAGAAACAGAGACAGAGACAGAGACAGAAAGATTGTGTATGTATGTCAGCAACTTTCTAGATTCTTTAAGGCAGTGGTTCTCAACTTTCCTAATGCTGTGACCCTTTAATATAGTTCCTCATGTTATGGTGACGCCTCAACCACAAAAGTATTTTTGTTGCTACTTCAGAACTGTAATTTTTCTACTGTTATGAGTCATAAATATCTGTGTTTTACAATGATCTTTGGCAACCTTTGTGAAAGGCTCATTTAATCCCCAAAGGGATCATGATCCACAGGTTCAGAACTGCTGCTTTAAGGGGTTTGAAAAGGCTTTTGGAGACAGAAAAGTTCCTTTGGGAAACTATGCTTAAACAGAGAACCAGAGTAATAGATTGCAAAGCCCTGGAAAGGACCATAATCTCTATAGGGTTAATACAGGCCCTTGAGAGCCAGAGAATTACAAGGGAGGTTTTGTTGTCATAGAATGTGTTGTTAGTAAAAACCTTTCTGTACTATACTAATTGGCACTGGAAAATTCAAGCCCAGGGTATGAAGCAAGAAGAATTAAAATGGTCTTGATACAGTGCTTCTTAGGGAACTTCATTTTTTTATTGATATTTATTGAGCTCTACATTTTTCTCTGCTCCCCTCCCTGCCTCTCCCTTCCCCATTTCAATCCTCCTCCAAGGTCCCCATGCTCCCAATTTACTCAGGAGATCTTGTTTTTTTCTACTTTCTACTTCCCATATAGATTAGATATATATAAGTCTCTCTTAGTATCCGCATTTTTGTCTAAGTTCTCTGGGATTGTGGTTTGTAGGCTGGCTTTCTTTGCTTTATGTTTAAAAACCACCTATGAGTGAGTACATGTGATAATTGTCTTTCTGGGTCTGTGTTATCTTACTCAAAATGATGTTTTCTAGCTCTATCCATTTTCCTGCAAAATTCAAGCTGTCATTATTTTTTTCTGCTGTGTAGTACTCCATTGTGTAAATGTACCACATTTTCCTTATTCATTCTTCGGTCAAGGGGCATTTAGGTTGTTTCCAGGTTCTGACTATGACAAACAAAACTGCTATGAACATAGTTGAGCACATGTACTTGTGGCACAATTGAGCATCCTTTAGATATATACCCAAAAGTGGTATAGCTGGGTCTTGAGGAAGGTTGTTTCCTAATTTTCTGAGAAATCATCACACTGACATCCAAAGGGGTTGTACCAGTTTACATTCCCACCAACAATGCAGAAGTGTTCCCTTTTCCCCACAACCTCTCCAGCATAAGTTGTCTTTAGTGTTTTTGATCTTGGCCATTCTTACAGGTGTAAGATAGAATCTCAGAGTTGTTTTGATTTGCATTTGTCTGATAACTAAGGATGCTGAACATTTCCTTAAGTGTCTTTCAGCCATTTTAGATTCCTCTGTTGAGAGTTCTTTGTTTAGGTCTGTACTCCATTTTTCTATTGGATTATGTGATCTTTTGGTGTCCAGTTTCTTGAGTTCTTTGTATATTTTGGAGATCAGACCTCTGTCTGATGTGGGTTAGTGAAGATCTTTTCCCATTCTGTAGGCTGTCATTTTGTCTTGTTGACCATGTCCTTTGCTTTACAGAAGCTTTTCAGTTTCAGGAGGTCCCGTTTATTAATTGTTTCTCTCAGTGTCTGTGCTGCTGGGGTTCTATTTAGGAAGTGGTTCCCTGTGCCAATGCGTTCAAATGTACTTCCCACTTTCTCTTCTATAAGGTTCAGTGTGGCTGGCTTTATATTGAGGTCTTTGATCCATCTGTGTAACATGAGGGCCGGCTTGTTGGGGTTTCCGTCCTGCCCGGTACCCCCCAGCCGGCAAACCCCAAAGAAAATCACACACAAGACTCCATAAGGTTATAAACTGATTGGCTCATTAGGTCAGGCTTCTTGTTAACTCTTATAACTTATGTTACCCCATTATCCTTATCTACTTTAGCACATGGCTCCGTACCTTTCTCAGCTGGGCAAGTTACATGCTGCCTCTTCGGTGGTCTGTACAGGAATGTCTGAGAGAGAGCTTCTGCTTCCAGAATACTCCCAGTCTCTTTGCTCCACCCTACTTCCTGTCTGGCTTTCCCGCCTATATTGCCTGCCTGGCCAATCAGCGTTTTATTAAAATATGATTGACAGAATACAGATAATTCTCCCACACCATTTCCCTCTTTTTTTTTTTTTTTAAACAAAGGAAAATACCCATAGTCCATTTGTTGGGAATGTGGGCGTAGTATTTCAGTCTACTTCCTGCTGGTTGGGGGTGCTGATAATCTTATGGGGACCTAAAGAAAATTTAGAGTTATAGTCAAGTCCTGACTGAAGTATCCTGTGAGTCTTGATCATCTCAGGCAGCAGTCTTGGATCAGTTCTGGATGTAGACCTCTGTCATCTGGGCCATCTGTTCCTATCGGAGATTTTTCAGGTGGCCTCCCTTGGTCAAAGGTGATTATTCTTAACTCTGAATAAATCCAGAGTCTCTCGTTTTCTGTGGAAACAAAAGCAAAATCTCTTCTCCAAAGTAACATACCTTTTGACTTCAATTTTGAAGCCAAGGTATTTTCAAAATACCTATCTTCAATTAATTCTGCAGCATTTATAAGCAAATGTCTTTTGGCGACTGTTGCTCCTTCCTCAGCATTCAAACAATTAAAAGAGAGCATAATAATATACAGTATCAAGATTCTCTGTATATTTTCCATCTTTCTGCGGCTTTATTTCAACCTCTATTTCTTTTATTTTTACTTTTAACTTTTGACTTTTTGAGACAGGTTCTCTGTATCTTTGTCCTGGAATAACTCTGTAGACCAGGCTGTCCTTGAACTCACAGATTCCTCTGTCTCTGCCTCCCCAGTGCTGGGCTCAAAGGTGTATGCTACCACACCTTGAACTCACAGAGATCTGTCTGTCTCTGTCTCCCAGGCATTGGGATTAAAGGCGTGTGGTACCACACCTTGAAGTCACAGAGGTCAATCTCTACCTCTGTTCCTTGAAGTCACAGAGGTCAATATGCCTCTGCCTCCCAGGCATTGGGATTAAAGGTGTGTAAGACCACACCCTATATCTCTCTTTCTTCCTTTTTTATTTTTAATGACTTTAACCTTTTAGCCTGCATATATTTTTAACACACTGTAAACCATTTTCCTTAGCTTTCCAGGCTCATGGCTGAGATACCAGCCAGAGCTGTGTTCACTGCCGCAACTATATGGCGTTTCAAGGTCCTTGCTAGCAAGCAAGCTGCAGCATTCTGCTCACAGACCACACTCAGTCGGACTGCCTGCCTGAAAGAGTCAGAGATTGCCCTGGCAGGACAGCCCAGAAAGCCAGCATTTTAAAACGGCGCAGCTTTTTTCCTGCAATGGCTGAAAACTGAAAAGCATGCATTCAGCTTTTCATCAACATAGTTTAAGTGTTTCGTGGCAGGACCTCTTTAAAGAGCTGCGAGGTTTTGCAGCTAAAGCTGAGTCAGGAAGCCTCT